TGCTCTTATCTTTATTATTTCTTTCCTTCTTCTTGCTTTGGGTTTATTTTGTTCTTTTTTTACATTTTTAGGGGGTAGACAGTTTATTGATTTGATAGTTTTCTCTTTTTTAACTGTGCATTTGGTGCTATGAATATTCCTCTCAGCACTGCATTACCTGTGTCCCATAAATCTTGATATGCTGTATTTTCATATTCATTTAATTCACTGAATTTTTCCTTTTCTTTGAGATTTCTTTTTTGTCCCACTAATTATTTAGAAGTATGTTGAGTAGTTTCCAAATGTTTGGAGATTCTCCTGTTATTGTTCTATTACTAATTTCTATTTGGTTTTATTGTGATCAGTGCTAATACTCTGAATAATATGATCATTTTAATTTGTTGAGATTTATTTTATAGCCTAGGATACGATCCATCTTGATATATATTCCATGGGCACTTGAAAGAAATGTGTGTTCTATTGTTATTGAATAAAATATAAATGTCAAGTCCTATTGGTTGCTAATATTGTAGAAATTTATATTCTTACAGCTCTTCTGCCTTGTTGTTCTATCATCTGTTGAGATGGGGGGATTGAAGTTTCCAACTATAATTGTGAATTTGTCTATTTCTTCTTTTAGTACTACATTTTTTACTTTAAACATTTTGTAGCTCTCTTTTTGGTGCATATAGATTTAGGATTTCTAGGTAACCTTTGTGGATTGACACTTTAATCATTAAATAATGACGTTCTCTGTCTCTGGTAATTTTTGTTGCTCTGAAGTCTATTTTATCTGGTATTAGTATAGCCACTCCTGCTTTCCTTTGGCTTTTGTGCTTGATATGTATTTTTCCATTCTGTTACTTTCAACTTGCTTATAGTGTTATTACAGGCTGTGAGTTTCTTGTAGGCAGCACAGTTCAACAAATCATAGTTGGTTTGCTTTTAATCCAATGTGACATCAACTGATGTATTTAGATTATTTACACTTAATTTATTAATGTATTAGAGCTTACGGGTATAATTTTATTTTTAGTTTTCTTTTTGTCATCCGTTTTACATTCCTGTTTTCTTTTTTCTTTCTTCCTGGGGATTACTTCAGAGTTTCATTTTGGTATAGTGTTTTCAAATCTATCTGTTCACATAGATTTCAGGAATTGCTGTAAGTATGACGTTATATATGCATAACTTATTATATATACATTATATATGCGTTATCTATGCATAACTTATCGTAGTCTATTGATGTTGCTACTTCACCAGTGAAAGTGAAGTATACAAAATTTATCTACTTTTGACCAGGCACAGTGATTCACAACTGTAATCCCAGCACTATGGGAGGCCAAGGTCAGTGGTCACTTGACATCAGGAGTTTGAGACCGGCCTGGCCAACATGGAGAAACCCCATCTCTACTAAAAATACCAAAATTAGCTGGGCATGGCGGTAGCAAGCGCCTGCAGTCCCAGCTACTCAGTAGGCTGAGGCAGGAGAATCACTTGAATATGGGAGGTGAAGCTTGCAGTGAGCTGGGGTCATGCCACTGCACTCCAGCCTGGGTGACAGAGTAAGATTCCGTTAAAAATACCCCAAACAACAACAATAATTATCTACTTCAATATCTTTTTATCCTATCCTGTTTATAAAGTAATTGCCTTAAGTATTGCTTTTACATACATTTACATCAGTCAGTGTTATATATAAAATATAAATGAGAAAGCTCAAGAGAATGGAAACCTATTGTATATACCTATATTTCTGCTTACTATATACCTTCTTCATTGCTGATGTTCCAGGCTTCCTTCTTTTTTTTTTTTTTTGAGATGGAGTTTCGCTCTTGTTACCCAGGCTGGAGTGCAATGGCGCGATCTCGGCTCACCGCAACCTCCGCCTCCTGGGTTCAGGCAATTCTCCTGCCTCAGCCTCCTGAGTAGCTGGGATTACAGGCACGTCCCACCATGCCCAGCTAATTTTTTGTATTTTTAGTAGAGACGGGGTTTCACCATGTTGACCAGGATGGTCTCGATCTCTTGACCTCATGATCCACCCGCCTCGGCCTCCCAAAGTGCTGGGATTACAGGTGTCAGCCACCACGCCCGGCCCGGCTTCCTTCTTTTATTGTTTCCTTTCTGTTTAAAAAACTTCATTTAGCCATTCTTTCAGGGTAGGCTTTCAAGCAACAAATTCTCGTAGTTTTTGTTCATTTGAGAATGTCTCAAGTTCCCCTTTATTCCTTGCAGGATATCTTTCACTGAGGATGGGATTCTGGGTTGACAATTCTTTTCTTACAGCACGTAGAAAAATACTGTACAACTTCCTTTTGGCCTCCACAGTTTCTGATGAGAAATTCACTATTATTCTGTTTATTTTACCCTTATCAGTAAGTTGTTTTTCTCTGGTGGCTTTCAATATTTTTTTCTTCATCTTTAGTTTTCAGAAGCTTAATTATAAGTCTTGTTGTGACTTGTTTGGGTTTATTATGTTTAGGGTTCTTTAGCTTCTCGAATCTGTAAGTTTATAACTCTTGTTAACTTTTGAACGTTTTTCAGCCATGATCTCTTTGAGTATATCCAGCCTCCCCTTCTTTTTCCTCTCCTGGAACTGCAGTGACATGACTATATCTTTTATTATAGTCCCACGAATCCCTAAGAATGCTTTGCTCATTTGTTTTCAAGTCTATTTTTCTCTATGTTGCTCTCATTGGGGAACTTCTATTATTCTAGTAGTTAACTGATTTTTTTCCTTTGCCCCCTCCATTCTGCTATTGAGCCCATTCATTGAGCTTTTCACTCAGGTTATTGTATTTTCAGTTATAAATTTTCTTTTTTTTTTGGTTCTTTACATGTTTTATTTCTCTGCTGCCATGTTTTTTTGTTTTGTTTTGTTTTGTTTTGTTTTTGCTGCTGCTGATGGAATCTCAGCCAAAAAATCTTTCCTTGTAAAGAATTTGTTTCAAGCAGTTTCCTAACTGCTTTCTGAAGCATCGTTTTAAATTATGGGCGCTTTAAAATCTTCGTCGGATAATTTTAATATCTCAGTCATCCCAGTGTTGGCATTTTATTTTATTTTTCATTCAGTTTGATATTTTCCTAGTTCATTGCATGGTGAGTGATTTTCGAATTTAAGCCTGGACATTTTCACGTCATGTTCTGCGATGCTTGCTCTTATTTAAACCTTCTTTTTCATCTGTTCTTATCTGACACCGCTCTAGCAGAGAAAGGGGCGTGCCAACTCATTACTGCCAGATGAATATAGAAGTCTGGGTTCCCTATTTGGCTCCACTGAAACTTGAGGGGAGCCTCTTCATTACTGCGGGAAGAAGATAGGAGTTCAGACACCTACATAGTCTTCAATAAGTCTGCATGAGGGACAAGGAGCTAGTTACTGGCCAACAAGAATGAAAGTCCCAACTTCCCACTCAGTCTCTCTGACACCACCCTAGTGGGAGTATTGGAGAACTTTGTTACAGCCTCGCAGGGTGAAATTCTGGGTTCCCCTCAAGATCTTAACGTGGGTGGCTGAGAGCGAGGTCAAAGTGTCTTCTGTGGCGCTTAGCTAAAGTAGAGAGGCCACTTAAATATTTTCTGTCTTGCAAAGGCAGCTCCTTTCCTGGTCCTTTAGCTGGAGAGAACAGCCTTTCGTTGGTACTTTGTGTGCCTGCACCTCTTGGTATTTTTAGATTGCCATCATTTTTAGCTTCAAGTCTGAGATTTAGGGGCTCAAAGAAAACCCAGAGTAGTACCACCATGTCGTTCCTTGGGTCCTGGGGTCCCTAGCCCATCTGCTTATTTCTTTCCACTTTCAGAGTCTTTTAATTTTTTTTTAATTTATAATATCCAACACGTGTAGTTGTACTTAATAGCTGTATAGGAAAAAAAATGCATCTACTTCATTTTCCCAAAAGCAGAAGTCTCGATATTGTGACTTTTATAATTAGCTGACTTCTCTCCATGTAATAACAAAAAAGGTAAACCAATTTTTTCTTTTGAAAGAAAAGTGGGGAGGAAATTTAACAAGTAATTCTGTTGTTTAATTCTAAATACTCCCAAAAGCTTAATTATTATGGTTAATAGGTCATGTCATCAAAGAATGTTGCCCCAATTAATCATAATATTTATTTTCCTAATGGCCTGATTTTTCTTCCTATGCGTTTAATGGTAGTCAACAGTGGCAAAGGACTTTGTGGGTATTAAAGAAATATATTACTGATTGAAGAATCAAGTGGAGGGGGTTTCATCTCTTTTGGATTTTGGAAAAACTGTTTAGTAATAGAAATAGAAAATAACACTCATTTACTGAATGTGTGTAATTTTAAGGTATGAGAGACACAGAGACTAAAACCTACAGAAAATGCAAACCATAAAACAAATAAAGCAGAATTAAATATATGTGATGCAGTGTTATGGGAATACAGAGAATGAATGTGTAATTATGAATAAAGATTTTAGGTAAGAAATTAACATGAACGGCAGTTAATCTGGATTGGGGAAAAAATTCGTTCAGTACTTATCAGCTGTCTACTTTGTGTAGGCTCCTCAGTGCTAGTTGCAGAATAAATAGTATTTTGACAGAGTCTGGGGAATGGGGTGGGATGGAGTGGGAGGGTAGGCATTTCAGTAGGAAGATAGCTAAAGCTGACACATAAAAATGTGGGGAGCAAAACAGATTTTATGAATAAAACTATGAAGCAATGCTATTTGAAAACTCATTCTGTATTGAAAGACTAAATTGTACTAACAGTAGTTACAGCTAACTTCTATTCACTCTATGTGCCAGGTACCAGACTACATGCTCATGCTTTACATGAAGCATTTTTATTTCATTCTCATATTAATACTTTGCAATAGGCATTAGTATTATTAGCTCTACTTTAGAGATGAGGGAACTGAGGTTTAGAGAAAATAAGTAACATGCTTATGATCATACAGTTACAAATTTGGTGGAATTTTAGAATTATGAAATTTAGAAAAGCATTAAAAATGCTTGCCTTGGGATTTTTATGCATATGAATATTGTTTTACAGATGTTGACAGCATGGACCTTGGCAAAAAGGTCAGCATCCCCAGAGATATCATGTTGGAAGAATTATCCCATCTTAGTAACCGTGGTGCCAGGCTATTTAAGATGCGTCAAAGAAGATCTGACAAATACACATTTGAAAATTTCCAGTATGAAACTAAAGCACAAATAAACGTAGGTATAACTTGAACATGTGGTATCTAAATGAATGAGTAGTATTTCTAAATTTGTATGTTTGACTAGTTTCTCAAGCAAGTATTCTATCTATCTTTTATCCATTTATTCTGTTAGGCTGTTTTTTTTTTCATTATAATGAATAGTTTAGGTGAGTAAACAAAAGAAGTATTATGTATGATATGAGTATACTTTTAGTTCAATAGGGACACTGTAATTTTGTAGATTTGGCACTGAGGAACTTGTCTGTTCCACTAAGAGGAGGGAGAGGGAATGGAGAGAAGTGATATTAAAAGTTTCCATGGTCTTATCACAATCTGTTACATGTTTGAGATGGAAACATTTCCAAAGAACATAGCGCTCCACCAGTGAGGATAAGCATTTTATTCACTGAGTAAGTCTTGGCACTGAAACATGCCTAGAACTACATATACATTCAATGTCCTCTCAAAGCATTTATTCCACATTGTGTATGGAAATCTGGTACTCATTAATGACAAAACTAGTTTGGATATAACTCTTTGGACAGAGGTTTCCTCAACTCAAGCTAATAAACAAACAAAAATTAATTAAACTATGTTTTACATATTGTATTAACATTACATTCACTAAAACTATCATTTAAAGAGATTGTAGAGGAAAAAGTTGATAGTAGAAAGACAACCAGCTTTGGGAAAATGGCTTTACAATTCAAAGGGCTGGTAGCATGAAGAATCAAAAAGGAACAGTGCATTGGTCCTAAATTTGAAAAGATCATGGTGACTTCAACAAATATGTTTTACTTACTGAGAGTTTCTTACTATAGCTATGAAAGGTCTGTAAGTTTACTTACAAATGTAAGTCCAAAAACTTACCAGCTGCAATTACTAATAAGTTGTTTTGAGGACAGCTCACTTCTTCTTTTCTTTTTCTTTTTCTTTTTTTTTTTGAGACAGAGTTTCGCTCTTGTTGCCCAGGCTGGAGTGCAATGGTGAGATCTCGGCTCACTGCAACCTCCTCCTCCTGGGTTCAAGCGATTCTCCTATCTCGGCCTCCCAAGGAGCTGGGATTAGAGGTATGCACCACCAAACCCAGCTAATTTTTTGTGTTTTTAGTAGAGACGGGGTTTCTCCTTGTTGGTCAGGCTAGTCTCAAACTCCCAACCTCAGGTGATCTGCCTGCCTCAGCCTCCTGAAGTGTTGGGAATACAGGCATGAGCCACCGTGCCTGGCCTGGACGGCTCACTTCTTTACAGCAAACAGACTAATATCCCTGATTTATTTTACTACACTTACTAAAACACAGTATAGAAACTAATATCTACATCCACAAACACCAAAATTTTGTGTTCCATGTTTATATTTTCCTTGTTATGTTTTTTGTTAACAGACAATTTTGAAAGGACACTTAACAAATTTTCATATTTGTAAGCATTCTTCAACCATCCCTTAATTAAATCTAGTTTTAATTGTGAATTCAGTTAGCCATCAAATCTTACTCAAATATAGTATTTAAATTTGTGAAGAATGATTTTTTAATTGAAGTCAATGTACCTTGCAAGTATTCCCAGTATTCTCTTACTAAAAATCATCTTGTAAGTATGAGTCAAAAATAATCCCTCTCCCATATGAGGGAGTCTATGTAATCATATTCTTTCAATAATGACAACAGAGAACACTCTCTATGGAGCAGTACAAAATAAGGTGGCTTAAGGAAGTCTTTGAAAAGTCATCTACAAGTTTAGACATTTGAACAAATGAATAATGTCAGTTTTTATAACTTCCACTTACATCTCTAGCAATAATACTTTAACTACAATTCTGAAGAAAGGCACAATAAGATTTAAAATGTCTCTAGGAGCACAATGTATTCTCTGACCACTTGTATTTCGAATTATTATTTACCTGTGGTCAAATGTGTTCTAGCTACACATAATATAAATAACAACATGTCTTGACAATTTTTCACTATTCCCAGAAGACTGGACACTGAATAAATGAAATGGCCCCAAGCAGGTTTATTGAAATAAATAATTAAATGTTGATAAATAACTCAGAGCAATCAGCAATAATTATGTATGCAATAAAGTTATATTTTATTGAGTTACATAATATACTCTGAAGTCTGATGAAATGTACTGTTCATTCAAAATAAGGAAAGTAGTATTCAAGGAAGTGTGTTCATTTGACTTAAGCAACTCTATGATAAAGAAGACTGAAACTCAGCTTTCAGAATTCTAGAGTTCTTGGCACCAACTCCTCTCATCGTGTAATTAAAGGAAATTCTGGCCTGACAGTCAGGAGACCTTTGGTCCTGGCTCTCCCACCAGCCATGTGATTTAGAATTGATTCAAAAGGGTTTTCATTTTTATTTATTTACTGTTTTGCCTTTCTGGAGTTTTCCCCTCAGTTTAAAAATGAAGATATGTACTTCAATGCACTCTCAGGTGCTGTCTGTCTTGAATGGTATCTGTGTTGTCTGATCTTAATTCTAAAAATTACCTGCACAATAAATCATTAAGGAAGATAGTCACCACATTGTAAAATGATACATACACTTTGTCAAGGCTCTAGATTGCAACTTGAAATGTTATTAATATGACAGGAATTCAGATCTATTTCCATTCACATTCATTTATACTTTTGGCAAATATTTATTGGGTGCCTATTATGTTCTAAATACTAGGCTGCAAGCTCAAAGATAAATAGATACAGGCTTTATCTAGTGATAGAGAGACCAAATGATATTGAAAGATAAGAGAACTTTTATTTACTTACAGTCTAGTTCTTGAATGGTCCTTATATGATTTATATCACATTAATCTAATTTATTGTCTATATTTTTTGGAATATATTGTCAAAGTAATAATCTAACTTAGCTTTAGAATTTCTTATTCTAGTATAGTGCTTAAGACTTCATATAAGTGAAAATATAAACCAACCCCCTGATAATTAATGCCATTTGTTCAAATACTACCATTTTAAAAACAGAAAAAATAAGTGTAGCTTTGAATTCTACTGTTGAAGGACACTGGCAAATTCAAGCTACATATAGTTTCTATAACACAAACAATAATAATAGTAAATATGTGTTCCTAAAAAGAAATGAACATTGCTTGCTACATGAGCCAATTTTGAAGCCCTAGTTCATAAACCAAGCTGCTGTGTCTTTTGTTTTTCTTTTCCTTTTTTTTTTTTTTTTTTTTTTTTAGAAGCTCACTGTTACCCAGGCTGGAGTGCAGTGGCTGGATCTTGGCTCACTGCAGCCTCTGCCTCTTGGGTTCAAGCAAGTCTCCTGCCTCAGCCTCCCGAGTAGCTGGGACTACAGGTACTCACCACCATGCTCGGCTAATTTTTGTAATTTTACTAGAGATAGGGTTTCACCATATTGGCCAGGCTGTTCTAGAACTCCTGACCTTGTGATATTCCTGCCTCAGCCACACAAAGTGTTGAGATTACAGGTGTGAGCCACCATGCCCAGCAGAACTAAGCTATTTCTTAACCAAAATGGCAAAATGGAGATGGATGAAGAAAATAGGCCACCAAAAATAAAGTCAAATGGAAGAATGCTTCATGATAATTCAAACTCTCTTCTTATAATTTACTGCAAAAGAATATCATATTTTTTGAATCTCTAGAAATCTTACATACTACTGGGAAAAGGAGAAGTATACTGTAAAAAGTAATTCTGAAATAAGACCACACTAAATAATTGGAACTCTAAATATGTATTTGCTTTGTTCAGAAAATAACTTCTACCATGTATTTGGCACAAAGCATAGAACATACGAAGGAGCCTTCTTTTATTTCTATTGATATTTCAACAAAAATCATGTTAAGCATCTTCTGTACGTGTTTTTAATTTACATATTTATAATCTATAGGATGTCGTGCTAGTTTTGTTTTCTTTAGGGTCAACTTAACTGAGATAAAAAGAGACATATTTTTATTTGTCTTTCCAACTTTTCTGAAGGTAATTGCAGATGATGGAATGCTATGATGTAAGGCTTATAATTACACAGGCTACTACCTAACTATTATAAGGCTTTGCTTGTATACTTAATGATGGTGTAGAGGTACTGGGTGTCTCCTGATAATTAATGACTAACTAGAAAGAGCTGATTTTCCTGCTCATCATTAATCCCCAGGAAAAGGTTATAGAAGATTAGTATTATAATTCCTGGAAATTAATGTAGGTGGAATTATTTGTAAGTTTAGGTGAAATTCATTTCATGAACACTTTCTAGGAATTTAGAAAACGTTATTCTTTGTGCATTATACATTTAAACTTCCCACATTTATCTCAAATGCCTTTTTATTTATAATTAAAGTTGTCAGGAACTTTTTACTTTTTAAAGAGGTAGTATAGGTTTAGAAGTAAAACAAAAAGATACTAATCTCATCAATTATTAAGTCCAACACTTAAGATAGAAGCTGAATTCAAATTCAAAATATTGTGTTGTACACACACACGTGTGCACACACATGATGCCTGAGACTGGGTAATTTATAAAGAAAAGAGGTTTATTTGGCTCATGGTTCTGTGGGCTGTACAAGAAGCATTGCATCAGCACCTGCTTCTGGTTAAGGGCCCCAGGAAGCTTCTACTCATGACAGAAGGGAAAGGGGAGCTGGTGTCACATGGTGAGAGAGGAAGGAAGGAAGAGAGAGGAGGGAGGAGGTGCCAAGTTCTTTTTAACAATCAGTTCTCATAGGAACTAATTATTACGAGGATGGCACCAAGTCATTCATAAGGAATCCACCTCCATGACCAAACACCTCCCGCTAGGCCCCAACTCTTAACACTGGAAATGAAATTTCAACGTGAGATTTAGAGGGGACAATCACACAAATCATTTTATTCACTAGGCAATTAGGAACAATTTCTAAAGATTGGGGTAATGCCATACCAGGATTTGTATTCAGTCTGACTGAAAGGGAAATGCTTGGTGGAAAATGGACAGAAGGTAGGTGATAATATGATATAAGTGTGAGCAATGAGGAGAACAGGTGCATGAAGACTAACGTGAAAAAGGAAGTTGACATTAAAAAAAATGTTATAGTAAAAAAGAGTCAAGTGGATTTGGCTACTTTTTCACTAAAAATTCAGCTAATATTCACTGACTGCTTGTGCTATATAAGGAACCATCTTAGGCTTTGTAAAAGACATATAAGCAAAATGAAATTCCCTGTTCTCAAGTTGCCGACAAGCTAGTAAATGAAACAGAACAGAAAATATTATTTTAAAGGCAAATGATATGGGATCAGCGAGAAGAAAGACAAAAACTTTTGATTTGAAGGGGTAGAAGAATAAGAGAGGGAGTGTTCTTTAAATTAGGACAGATCAGATGGAGAGGGGGCCTTTCGCTAGGGGAACTCCTATGATCAAAGAATCAAAGCTAGAAAAGCATACAAGATAATGGGGGAATCATAAGTGGTTTGGTTTTAAGCTTAGGGTGCATCTTTAAAAACTGATGAGACTAGATAGGGAGGTGTCAGTGCAAGGCTAAAACATTTAGGCTTATTCAGTACCAAATAAAGTGTGAATGTGATGATGACTTTGCAATTAGGTATACAACGTTTAAAGTTTTTAAACGTTTAATGTTGTAATATTTTTCCTATAAATTCTAACCTCAGGCAGAGATAAAAGACAAATGTCTCTTTTCAGCATTTTATTTTCCAAAAATCACAAATTTTTCCTTTCACAAGTCTATGCAACTTAAAATATAAATGATTTTAGGGTTTTTTGGGAATACATATGATTGCCGTTCAAATTTCAGATTAGATTTTTAAACTTTCTATCCATTAAAGAATCTAATTAAAGACAAAATATAAATACTGTGGAACATAAGAATTACTAGGTCAAATGCTTGGCCAATATGCTCTACATTATTAGATTAGTAAGAATTCAAAAATAAATACATTTATCTCATAGGGATGTTGCAAATAGAAAATGAAATGATTGATATAAACCACTAGACACAGTGCATGGCACACAGTAAGGCTCAACTAATTCCAGCTTTAATTATTATTAAGTGTATCGTCATCATAAAGCAGATCTTAGACTGCTATCAGTAAACGTCATTCGAATGTAGAACCATATTACCACGTAAAAAATTACTGAGGTCCCAGGAAGTAATGAAATGACATTGCATTTAAATTATAAATATACAAATGTAGTTTTGCATATATAGCTCCCATTATTGTGCTTACATTTTTGAGTTTTCAGCAGAGTTTACTTTTCCTAAAAAACAGCACAGTATTGCTATGCAGAACGAGAAACTGGATGGAAGCAACTTGGAAGGTGGTTCACAGCAAGCCCCCTTGACTCCTCCCAACACCCCAGATCCACGAAGCCCTCCAAATCCAGACAACATTGCACCAGGTAACCAATCCCCTTACCAAATAGAGCAATGAAATGTCTGTGTACCTAATGATGTCACTCAAGGCATTTAAGACCTTTATTAAATAATATTTAAATAATATATCTTTCCTTATTAAATACGTTTTTGGGCCCAGGCACGGTGGCTTACACCTCTAATCCCAGTATTTTGGGAGAGTGAGGTGCATAGATCACCTGAGCCCACAAGTTTGAGACTAGCCTGGACTATGTGGCAAAACCTCATTTCTACAAAAAATACAAAATTTAGTTGGGCATGTTGGTGCACACCTCCAGCTACTCGGGAGGCTGAGGTGGGAAGATCACTTGAGTCCAGGAGGTGGGGGTTGCAGTGAGCCATGATCACATTACTGCACTCCAGCCTGGGAAACAGAGTGAGATCCTGACTCAAAAACAAAAGTTTTTTTGGATAAATACAAGACAAATGCAAAAATTCAGACCTAAAGGAATCACATAAAACATTTATAGTAGCCATATGTTCTTTCTGTCAGATGATCTGTTAATTACCTGCTGTATTGAAAATTATACTAATAATTTGTAATTATATTGAAATTCTATTTATATAGGACTGTACAATTTATAAAATGCTTTGATATATATTGTCTTTTTAAATTTCACAGTAACTCCATGACCTATTAATTGCAATCCTCATTTTATAAATTAAGATGTTGAGGTTATGAATGTTTATGAAGCAACAAAAATAAAATGAAAAGACCTAGTATTTGACAGCACAACAGGGTGACCATAATCTAGCTGTACACTTTACAATAAGTAAAAGAGTATAACTGGATTGTTTATAACATAAATAATAAATGCTTGAGGTGATAGATACCACATTTATCCTGATGTGATTATTGCACGTTGCATGCTGCTATCAAAAGATCTCATGTACCCCATAAATATATGCACCTATAAATACATACCCACGAAATCTAAAATATATCCCCCATAAATATATACCCACAAAAGCTAAAAATAAAAAGATCTTAAATTAAAATCGTAAGAAAAAAAGAATTAGATCTAGGTACAGTGGCTCACACCTATAATACCAGCACTTTGGGAGGCTGAGGCAGGAGGATCACTTTAGGCCAGGAGCTTGAGACCAGCCTGGTCAACATAACAAGACCTTATCTCTACAAAAAAATAAATAAATAAAACCAAAAAGAATTAAACAAGATAGGTACCAAATTTACAAGTGCCTCATGTCAACAGATCTTATGGTGATTGTTTTTGTTATTCTCTTTCCTCAAAGGACTTTCAATGCAGCTCCTAAAGAGCTGCATTTGTTTATTATTTTAAAAGAGAATCAACCCAGTATTCATAGTCTGACATTTTTCCAAAAATTATATTATCTGATTAGACATCTTTTCAAAGTAACTTGCAGTGTCTTTGAAAATTCAAGCATTTTCTCAAGAGTAATACATAAATTTCAAAAATTTAAAAGTTATATCTTGAAACTAATGATATCTTATTTTTGTAAAATAAACAGTACATTTAGCAAAAGTACTCCTAGAATCTTCTCCAATGTAATACTCTTTTTGACAATATGTACCTCCAACTTAACTGTTATAGTTCTAATTCATATTGTATAAATCGATATGTAATAACTGTACATATTCTTGGGGTACATGTGATGTTTTGATACATAGCCATCGTCTCAAATATTTGTTATTTCTTTGTTTTGGAAGTATTCAATATCTTCCTTCTAGTTATCTGGACTATAGAATATATTATTCTTTTTTATTTATTTATTTTTATTTTTATTTTTTGAGATGGAATCTCACTCTGCCGCCCAGGCTAGGGTGCAGAGGTGTGATCTTGGCTCACTGCAACCTCCGTCTCCCGGACCAAGCAATTCTTCTGCCTCAGCTTCCCAAGTAGCTGGGACTACAGGTGCATGCCATCACACCAGGCTAACTTTTGTATTTTTCATGGAAACAGTGTTTCACCATATTGTTCAGGCTGTTCTCAAATTTCTCACCTCGTGATCTGTCCACCTCAGCCTCCCTAAGTGCTGGGATTACAGGCATGAGCCATCATACCTGGCATAATATAGTATTCTTATTTATAGTCATCCTAAAGTGTTAGGGAAGCCTAGACCTTATTCCTCTTATCTAGCTATAATTTTGCATTCTTTAACAAATCTCTCTTAGCCCGCACTTCTCTCTACTGTTCCCAGCCTCTAGTATCCTCTGTCCTATTTTTTACCTCTAGGAGATCATCCTTTTTAAGCTTCCACATACGAATGAGGACATGCAATGTTTAACTTAAGAGAAACTTTTAAAGTTCTAAATTTATGTGGCTCTTTAGAGCTAGTATCCAATATTAAATATTAGAAAATTTCTATGTAATATAGAGTAAGAAAAGGGAGAGTTTGGGTGTTGTTAGGTAGTTTACTACAAAACAAGAGTACAAATGGATTCTTCCTTCTGGGTAGATAAGTAGTTGAAAAGTACAGTAAGTTCAGTAAAACCATAATTACTACACTTTGGCAAACTAATTTGTTAGTGATTAACCAACTATGTATCCAAAAGCCAACCTTTTTCATACATGAATAAATAAGAGTATGAAAATGCCATAATACAATAAAAATAAAATTTATCTAAATTTCACTTATATTAAAACATATTTAAAAATCAAACAAAAAATGTAGACATAGGGCATTGCTGAATTGTAATATTTCTGTAAGGGTAAACCTAAGCACATTCTTTTCTGTAGATAGCATATGAAATAAGAAAAATGTTGTTTATTTAATCATATATATAAAAAGAAATTAGAAAACCGTGAATGTTCAAAAATGGGAAAAGATTACATGAACATGGTCCCTTAATTTAATAGATTATTGTGAAACCCTTAAAATAATTATAAACATGATATAGAAACATTTAAAAGTAGTTTGAACGAATCCGGGGGAAAACAAAATTACATGTACACTAGATGTTCTAGTTATGTGATCATTATGTTTATGGGTGAAGAAAAACTGGAAGAAGATACACAAAACTATATATTTGTATTAGAGTAGTGGGATTTTGAGGAATTTTTTAAAATTTTATAAACGTTAAAATTTTCCAGTTTCTAAAGGTCTGACTCCATGAAAGGAATAGGAAATTAATGTGGTAGTTGTGGTGATGGAATTACATGTAATATATGAAGAGAAGACACAGGAAAGAAAACGCTTTTCCTTGGGGAGGCAGGAATGGCTGCCTAGAAGGGTGACCTGAAGCTGAGGCTTGCAATAGAAATTTGCACATGATAAGAGGTAGGGAGAACATTCCAGGCACAGAAAATAAACAGACCAAGTAGGGGGGCATAAGAGGCACCCCAAGCAACAAGTGACTAGATCCATAGTCCCGGAGCAAAGAGTGTGAGAGGAGAAACCAGGTGGTGAGGCTGGACTGGTGGAAGGGCCACCTGGGTCACACTGAGTAGTTGAGATTTTGTCCTGGGAGGCATTAGGGCACCCTGAGCAGGGGAAGAGTGTGGCCAGTTAGGAAAGTCTCCTGGGGCAGCAGTGTGGAGGGTGGCTGGGAGAGGGGTTAGAGCTAAAGGATTAGTGTTGAAGCTCTGATGAACACCCGAGCAAGAGACACCTAGGCCTGACCAGGGCAGGAGTAATGGAAATGTAAAGAGAATTTCTTAGAACAATGTTCCTCGTTGTTCTGTTTGTAGACCACTTGCATAAGACTTGTATTAGAGTTTGTTAAATACTTGGATTTTGGGGTCATACTTGAGACTTACTGAAGCCAAATCTCTGGAGGGAGGATCCTGTTATCTACACTTTAAATATGTTTCCAAGATAATTCAGACACAATAGTATGAGAATCACTATTTTAGAAATTCTTAGGAAATATAGTTGGTAACACTTTGTGATTTGTTGCAGGGATGAGGGAGAGTTTTGGATAATGCTCTGTCTTGGGCATCTAGAGCAAAATGATAACATTTGCTAAAATGACCAAAATAAAAAAAGAAGCAAAATATATTATAAAATGGCTGCATTTAGGTCTAGACAAGTTATAAAGAGTGCCAGTGGATCATTTATTTTGACAAATATAGTAAACAATTGAGTAGAGGGCTTGAAGATTAAAAAAACTCAGAATCATCAATACACAGGTCACAATTGAAGCTATGAATATAAATGGAATTTTCTAGGTAGAGTAACCTGTGTAAGAAAAGAACTTTGAGGAACAACAGTATTTAAGTGGCAAGCAGAGAAAAGGAGCCTATAAAAAGATCTCTATTAGACATTGGAGGCAATCTGAAGAAAATTAAATAATCACATATAACTACACATGGAATTATCAAGGAAGGGACTGTTTTGGAGGAGATAAACATTTTGATGTAAAGAGAAGATAGGCATGCTTTGACAGAAGAAAATCAAAATTATTGTAGAGATGGGAAAGAGCATCAGAGAAATCTAAGAGTAGAAGTCATCAAATGGTAAAGGGATTTAACAAGGTGGAAGAGAGAATTGCAGGGATATAATTAGGTAGTATGGCAGTGTAAACAGAAAGTGGATAACTATGCCTTAGAAAACTGGAAGAGTGTCACTGTGAAAAAGGTTTAAAGATCTATGCCAGGAATTTCTGTGACTTTTAAATGGTATTTACAGAAAATTCCCAGCTGTTATGAGAATAAACTGGGAAGGTGAGCTCAGAAGCAGAAAAGGTAGGTAAGAAATCTTGAGGAACAAAATAAACAGGGATGGATAACATGGGGAGTTAAGAAGAGCTGGGCCTGAATAAGGTAGTGGAGACAAGTTATTCCATCTTCTTGAAGCTTAAACATTTTACAGAGCACTCAGCAATTGAAGACAGACAAAACTCAAACATCACCTCTAAAGAATCAGCTCGAGAGAAGGGAGATTTTGTCTTCGTTGAGATTTCCCTTAGCTTAGACTACGACAGGCACTCAATATTAACATTTTTAAATTAATTAATTGTGATATCTAATGTTTAGTGTGAATTAATGCAAGGAGCACAATTTTTAGAAAATTAAATGAATAGTTTTACTGGAACAAATATATTCTAAGATAGTCAAGGAAAAACCATAATTTGGAAAAATTAAACATTAAGAAAAATGATTTCTTTTTAAACTCCCATAAGCTTACAGGAGCTTTAAAATATCTAATACTTGCAGATTGCTGTTTTCTAAGAGATGATAAAGAGGATGCATGCTTCATAAATTTAACCCAGCATGAAAAAATCAAACATGGGGAAATGTTAGGTGGAGTTTAGTAACTCTTGGGCGCAGTGTTTACTTATTTTTGCTATATTTTTCCAAAGGATATTCTGGACCACTGAAGGAAATTCCTCCTGAAAAATTCAACACCACAGCTGTCCCTAAGTACTATCAGTCTCCCTGGGAGCAGGCCATTAGCAATGATCCGGAGCTTTTAGAGGCTTTATATCCTAAACTTTTCACGCCTGAAGGAAAGGCAGAACTGCCTGATTACAGGAGCTTTAACAGGTAACTCAATGATCCTGGGTGACACTGTTGGCATATAATACTAAGATTTTTCCATCATGGTACAGATAACTGAATTCCCTGGTAGAAAAATTTTTTTTTCTTTTGAGAAAAGAATCTAAATAGCAATATAGGATGTCTTCTCAGCCTAGGCAAAGACTCATTTTTGTAATATTACTATTATTTTCAAACTTGGGCTTTTTTATTATAAAAATGCAGAAAAAGATTCAGAAATTATCATTGGTTTAACATCAAGATTATTCCCTCACACTGTAAAAATGTTATTTTAATAACAGTTTCAAATCAAAAGATTAATCTAGGTTTATGCATTATTTCAAATGATAATACTATTCAAGAATTTCATAAATAATTCACATGCAAGGCTATGAAAATTGCTGTAACTCCAGATTCCAACTTATAGTTTTGCAGGCTTTAGGACAGATTAGAAGTAATTTAGAGACTTAATGGCCTAAGATTCCAGAAAAGGTACAACCCAAAACTTAGGCTATCAAAAATGTCACCAAATGATATCTCTAGTATGATTTATAGAATGGGCATCTATTTTTCTCTTTATTCAGTTTTTATAATTTCCATGGATGTTCTGAGTTTTTAATAGTCTCATAATCCATTATTTGAGAACCTGACCTTCATTTTAGAGTAAAATATTTAGTATACTGTCTCGCACTCAAAAAAAGTTACTCAATTTATAGGCTGCTTCATAATGATTCATTTAAAAATGAATAAATTAGTGAGTAAATTTTTATTTCCAAAAATGAGTGACAAATAGACTACAGTTAAATAGTGATCTTCTTTAGTATTTAAATATTGTGATCGGTTGTGGTGGCTCATGCCTATCATCTCAGCACTTTGGGAGGCTGAGGTGGGTGGATTACTTGAGACCAGGTGTTCAAGACCACCCTGGGCAACATAGCAAGACCCCTGTCTCTATAAAAAATACAAAAATTAGCCGAGAGTGGTGGCATGTGCCTGTAGTCCAAGCTACTTGGAAGTCTGAGGTGGGAGGATTACTTGAGCCCAGGAGGTGGAGGTTGCAGTGAGCTGAAATTTCACACAACTTCACTCTAGTCTGGGCAACAGAGTGAGACCTTGTCTCAAAAAATAATACATAAATAAATAAAAATATTGTACTATTAAGATTTTAGTTTTTACACACTACTATTGTTAGTAATATATCCCTTGCACAAAAGAGGTGTACCATAGAATTTAAAGAAGGGTTCAGGAGTGTCAGGGAAAAAAGGTTGAAGGCCCATTCTGATCAATGTTATAATTTTTTTTCTCAAAATGAGAGTGTAGAAAATTATAAAAAGTAAAACATTAGGGGAAATGGAAATTAATGGAATAACTCAATTTTGTTTTTAGATTAAATGTTTAAGAAATGCCTTAAGACTACTCTGTATCTTGTGGCTTTGGTGTTCTATACCTGTTGAGCAGCTTGCCTGTAGTCCTGCACACATACGCAGGTGTATTAATATTTGGGTTAGTTATAAAGAGATGCCTATTGACTGTATAAATACCAGGTGAGTGCTGTATCAGTAGGCACAATACCATTTAATAGAAAATGTAGCTTCCTATGTTAAAGCTTTTGTAAATATTACATGGTGTGTGTGTGCACATGTGTGTGTGTGCATGTGTGTGAAAGAGAACTGAACCTGTTAATACTTCTCTTTTACTTCAGAACATTTTATTTCTTTACATATGTACATCAACATAGAAATAAAAACTTAGAAATTAAGCATCAACATGACACTGTATTCTTAGACTTATTATCGTTAAATAATGTTAACAGATGAAACAAAACATGATGTGATACGTAGATGTCTCAAACAGGTAGCAGTAAGATCCTTTGTGACTTTAAAGCATATGGAGGCCAGGTGCAGTGGCTCATGCCTGTAATCTCAGCACTTTGAGAAGCCAAGGTAAGCAGATCACTCGAGCTCAGGAGCTTGAGACCAGCCTGCACAACATAGTGAGAACTCATCTCTACAAAGAATCAAAAAGCAAGGCAAGAGGATCACTTGAATCCAGGAGGTTGAGGCTGCAATGAGTTATAATCACACCACTGTACTCTCAACTGGGCAATGGGAGTGAAACCCTGTCTCAGGAAAAAAAAAAAATAAGAATATGCACAAGGGTACACAAAGTTTAAGACATTGTCTAATACATGCGTTTCTTTAGAAGTCCACTTTAAAACAACTAAACAGCGTACAGGTATACCTCGTTTCATCGAGCTTCACTTTACTCTCCTTTGCAGATACTGCATTTTCTCGCAAATTAAAGGTTAGTGGCAACCCTGTGTCAAGCAAGTCTATCGGTGCCAATTTTTCCAACAGCATGTGCTCACTTTGGTAATTCTTACACTATTCCAAACTGTTTCATTATTATTATATCTGCTGTAGTGACCTGTGATCAATGATCTTTGATGTTACTATAATTGTTTTGGGGTGTCATGAACCGTACCCATGTAAAAAGGCAAACTTAATCAACATATGCTGTGTGTGTTCTGAGTGCTCCAATGACCAGCCTCTCCACCATCTCTCTCCCTCTCCTGGGCCTCCCTATTCCCTGAGATACAACAGCATTGAAATTAAGCCAATTAATAACCAATTAATACTGTTCAAGTGAAAAGAAGAGTTGCAACTCTCCCATTTTAAATCAAAAGCTAGAAATGATTAAACCTAGTGAGGAAGACATGTCAAAAGCAGAGATAAGCTGGAAGGTAGGCCTCTTGTGCCAAACAGTTAGCCAAGGTATGAAGGCAAAGGAAAAATTCATGAAGAAAACTATAAGTGCTACTCCAATGAACATATGAATGATAAGACAGTGAAACAGTCTTATTGCTGATATAAAAAAAATTGAGTAGTCTGGATGGAAGATCAAACCAGGAACAACATTTCCTTAATTAAGCCAAAACCTAATCCAGAGCAAGGCCCTAACTTTCTTCAACTTTATGAAGGCTGAGAGAAGCAAGGGAGTTGCAGAAGAAAAGTTGGAAGCTAGTAGAAGTTAGTTCATGAAGGCTGAGGAAAGAAGCTATCTTCTTAACTTTTATAGTGCAAGGTGAAACAGCAAGTGCAAGTGTAGAAGCTGCAGCAAGTTTTGCAGAAGATCTAGCTAAGATCATGGATAAAAGGTGCCACACTAAATAACAGATTTTCAATGTAGATGAAATAACCTTCTATTGCAAGAAGATACCATCTACAACTTCCATAGCTAGAGAGAAGTCAATGCCTGGCTTCGAAGCTTCAGAGAACAGTTTCTCTTGCTAGAAACTAATGCAGCTGGTGAATTTGAGTTAAGTTGAAGCCAATGCTCATTTACCATTCTGAAAATTTTAAGGCCCTTAAGAATCGTGTGAAATTTTCTCTGTCTGATCTTTATAAATGGAAAAGCAAAGCCTGAATAGCAGCACATCTGTTTCCAGCATGGCTTACTGAATATTTTAAGCCCACTGTTGAGGCCTATTGCTTAGAAAAAATATTCTTTTCAAATTACTGCTGTTTATTGACAATGAACCTGGGCATGCGAGAGCTCTGATGGCAACGTACAAGGAGATTAACGTTGTTTTTCATGTCTATTGACACAACATCCATTCTGTAGCCCATGGATCAAGGAGTAATTTTGACTGTCAAGCCTTATTAGTTAACAAACACATTTCATAAGACTATAGCTGCCATAGAAAGGGATTTATCTGATGGATCTGGGCAAAGTAAATTGAAAACCTTCTGAAAAGAATTCACCATTCTAGATGCCATGAAGATTATTTGTGATTCATGGAAGGAGGGCAAAGTATTATCATTAACAGGAGTTTGGAAGAAGTTCATTCCAATGAAGTTCATTCCAATCTTCATTGGAATGAACTTCTTCCAAACTCCTGTTAATGATAATACTTCAGTCTTCATTGGTTGACCTTAAGGAGTTCAAGACTTCAATGGAGGAAGTAAATACAGATGTGGTAGAAACAGCAAGACAACTAAAATTAGAAGTAGGGTGTGAAGATGTGCATGAGTTGCTGCAATCTCATTAAAAAAACAAAACAAAACAAACAAACAAAAAAAAACCCTGATCAGATCAGGAGTTTCTTCTTATGAATGAGCCAAGAAAGTGGTTTCTTGAGATGGTATCTACCTCTGCTGAAGGTGCTGTGAATATTGCTGACATGACAACAAAATATTTAGAATATTCCCTAAACTTAGTTGATAAGGCAGTAGCAGGATTGGAGAGGATTGCCTCCAGTTTTGAAATAAGTTCTACAGTGGGTAAAATGATATCAAGCAGCATCACATGCTACAAAGAAATTTTTCATTAAAGGAAGAATCAACTGATGCAGCAAAGATCATTGTTGTCTTATGTTAATAAATTGCCACAGTCATTCCATCATTCAGCAATCATCACCCTGGTTAGTCGGCAGCTATCAACATTGAGGCAAACCCTCCACCAACAAAAAAATGTCAACTTACTGAAGGCTCAGATGACCATTAGCATTTGTTAGTAATAAAGTATTTGAAGTTAAGGTATGTACTTTGTTTTTCAGACATATTATTCTTAAGAAAGCAATGTTATTACTTGGTAGACTACAATACAGTGTAAACATAACTTTTAGATACACTGGTAAATAAAAAATTTCATGTGACTTGCTCTATTGTGATATTCACTCTATTACAGTGGTCTGAAACCAAACCTACAATATCTTCAAAGTATGCCTGTAATTAAAGTTTTGGCACAAATGCTCGCTAAATGAATAATACCAAAGGAAGTCACATAGGTAAGATTTTCACATCCAGCTAAGGCAGTCTACTTCATATCAGAACAACTTCATAAAAATAACCAGAAAAACCAGTTTTTAAAAATGAGTTTTAAAAGTGATTTAAAAGCTGCCAAGGAAGTGAGTACTTGAGGGCCAAGGTTCTGGTGATGAGGGAAATTTAGAGCTGTTAACCCAGCATGTGGTACCACTTTCTCCTTGAGGCACTTGTTGATTCATC